ATGGCTAGGATACTGTGCTACGTTCCTTGTGCAGCATATACCAGGTTCTATGTCCCAGCACCACAGGAGTGATTCCTGAGCATAGAACTAGGAGTAAACCCCTGAGCACTGCAGGGTATGACCAAAGCCCCCAAAATGAACACAAGTTGCACTGATCAGGTTTCTACAATAGTTTAGAAATAAGATAACACAACTCAGGCTCAAGGGTTAGGAAAAAAAGGAAAAAAAAAAACCCTAAATACTACCATGGCATCTACCAAACACTTTGAAGCACTCTAGGCCATATACACCACCTGATTTTTTATCAGTTATCTGAAAGACTTCTTAAAGCCATTATACACAGGATAAGTAGCTGGGCCTTCATTACCCAGTCAGGCCAGTAACTGGTAGTGCCAGAAACTAACATTTGCATACAGAACTCTGACTGCAAACCACAATTCTCAGTTTCCTTTTGAGTATCATACTTGTTCCCCAGTTCAAGCTTTGCACTCGATTTTGGGTCATTATTATAAACTCTTCATATTTCTGTAAAGAGTCACAGTGATAAGCTGGGGGTGGGGTGGGGATTTGCTAAGACACTGATGGGATACAAGGGCCTAAGTGCAGCCCAAGAGCAGTTAGGTTCCTAACTGTGTGTTGGCTCAGAATCACCAGTGAACACCCAGCTCAAGGACTCCTGCTCTCAGTGAAGTCATGCCCATTGAGTGGCTGGAGAATGTGACACATGGTTTATGCTGTTCAGAAGCATCAAGCCAGGAAAGTTTGTGAATGATGACTCCTCGAGGATGAGACAAAACTGAGCTGTGATTTTTTTTATTCTCTTCATTTGTTAAACTTCACTGATTCTCAAAATGAATTGAGACAGCTTAGAATCAAAAAAAAAAATTGCAGAACCCATAAACCAATCTTCAATGACAAGAGGCAATGTTTATTAGTAGAAACTCTACACAAAGCACTTGAGAAGTGATATTGTTTTTAACCTTCAAAAAAACCCTTTGAGACAGGCCCTACTTTTATCATTCACCTTTTGCAGCGGGAACAACAAAACACAGAAAAGGTAATACATTTCTCCACGGTTGGTTTCACAGCAGTAAGAGGTACAATGAGGTGGCTAAAATCCAACAGCCAGAATCCACTGGAGATGTTGTCCACTTTGCTACTCTTTCTCCCAAAAGGAGGTAAAAAGAACAAGAGCTAAGGAGGGATCCAAGACCTCTGACAGCCACATAGATTAGCAAAATGATTGAAACTGAAAATAAAATTTGAATAGAGCTTCCTAGCAACCCAAACCATTTCTTAAAGCAGCCTAAACCATTTCTTTTAAAGCAAAATGGGTGGCATTAACTTCAGGTAGGTGACCAAAGTTGGAGGTTATCTGGAACTGGGGAGTAGAGGTGGGTGGAAGGGGTCTCCCAGAACATGGAGCTTTCAGGGCAGAAACTGAAATGACTGAAACCCCTCCTAAAAAGGTTTAATGATATTTTATCAGGGCCCAAGTATGAAAATCATATAAAATCTTTAGGGTATTTCAGAACTATATCAGCTCCTTTAGCACCTCCTCCCACCACCATTAAAAATACAAACTTATTTTTTGACTTTCTGCTGGGAAAAGACGAAGGCACTGTAGAAAAAGGAAGCCTTGTTCATTCTGGATTTTCAATCATCACATCGAATATTATGTTCAAGAAGCAGGGTATAAAAAGCACACAAATTCTGGCTTAAATTCTGCCCTGTCACCTCCAGCTTTTAATTTTCTCTCCCAAGGTCAGATAAGATTGCTTTCTTTAAAAAAAAATTGCTGAAGTCATAGGGAGAGACACAAGCCAATGATTCTTAGAAAACTGGGTGGCAGCCTGGAAGACAGATTAGCAGGCTGCTGCAGAGCTTGGTTTACAGGAAAGAGGCACAGGTTCAATCCCCTGCACTGCATGGTCTTCCTGAGCACCGCCAGGAATAAACCCTGAGCTAAGTCACATCTTACAAATCAACGAGGAATCTATAGCTGACAGAGCTCAGTCATCACTCCTGGCAGTGCTCAGGGGACCATAAGTACTGTCTTGTATGGATGCAAGCAAGCACCTCCTAAATGATCACTCCATCCCCTTTAGTCACAATCTGAACCTTAACTTAGCATCTCAGGGCTAAAAAAATGCTTACCTAGAATATGGAAGCAACAATGGCTACAAATCAATGATGGTTAAGTCACTTGGCACCAATGTTTCTGGAGAGCAAACTGAGCCTTAGAAGAAGGAAGTCAAGTGCCCACAGTGAGTCACAAAACTGAGATGATAAAAAACAAACTAAGTGGGAATTAAGAGCAAAGCGGCATGCTAGAAACTCCACCGAGCTGAAGAAATTCTCAGACTAAATATTTTATATTTTCCAGATAATTTAAGTTTCTCTTTTGATTAAGGGTGCACTCTCTCCCATGTGCACACATGCATGTGCGCGTGCTAGCTCTCCCCTCTGCCCGTCCCCTCTGGAAATACAAGGTGATCAGACATCAGACTTGCCCAACTATTGCAGACCACCCAGGGCACTAAGCACTAAGCACTGGGAAGCCAAGCACTGGGAAGCAAAGCCAGGGGAAGTAAGGCCAGCATCTGGACAGCAGACACCTAAATGCAGGCAAAATGTCTCAGCAGGACAGAAACATCCCAGTGAAAATCTACAGATCTCAATCACAATTTCTCATCTCAATGCACAATCAAATCACATGGATTAATGACTTAATCAGTGTGTATTTCTGAGCACTTCTACCTGCTCAGAAGCCCCTCATAAGTGATTGTATTAAGAAATGAACATTATAAAATAATACCACAGAGACAAAAGGACATGATCTGTATTTACATGGAGAGTAAGAAGAAATAAGTTAAGAAGCGACTAAGCTTGAAAGAAACACCAAACAAGATCAAGTTGGGGAGTGGGGTGTGAGGTCAGTTTAGTTTGGGGTAAGATCATGTTTCAGCAGACATGTATGGGTGTGAGCTGGTTGGGTGTGCAGAAGAAGCACTTCTAGGTTGGGACACGCATATGTCTCTCAAAACAGCAAAGACAATTTCCTGAGCTAGAAAGGCTCAACGTGTGTTGGCAACCATGAACTAAATCCTGGTTGTGCAGGAATTCAAAGTTCAGGCAAGGCGCAGACAGAGGAAGGGGCCTGGGTGGTACTGTGGGAAGCCTGGGAAAATATCTTCGAGTCTATCAAGACTTGCCAGGCAAACCTTCAGTTCACAGCTCCATTCTCATCTAATCCCTGAGATTTCTTATGTCTAGCTGCAACTACCACTGTGATTCACTATTCACCAGGGGAATCTCCTGGTCACAAACAAGTAAAAAGAACACTGAAGTTCCCCACAGTCATTCTTGAAGAAATTGGGGACAAAACTTTCTTTCTCTTGCCTGAATAAAAACAGGTTCCACAAAGTTCTTTACTATTGTTTAGTACAAAATGTCACAGCAGCAAGACAGAGTTAAAGGCATCCTAATGGCCATACACAAAGATTCAGTAACACAGTTGAAGGAAAAAGAATAAACAGATGCAGAATAAAAATAATATTTGAAATGAACAGTTATTGCTCAAAAATTCATCTTAGCAAAAAGGTTAATCCAGCTAAAAATGTTTTCTTAGAATCATGCCACTTCATAATCATGATTCATTTAAGTATAAAAAAATCTTAAAAATAGTCTGGCAAAAACCAGGTATGACCTCCTCTTTATTTCCTTTTATTTTTTTTCTTTTTTGCTCAGGCTGCTATTTCAGTATTACCACATTAAAGAAACCCCATCATAAGTAATTCATTGACCATACAAAGTGTACTTGCAAAGTAGCATCTTAATATTTACACTAATACCCAGGCAAAGAAAATAACTTTTTGTTAGGTCAGCGTTTTTTTTTTTCTGAGAGTAGTGTGTATATTTTGAGACATGCTAGCATGCATGCTTGTGTGTGTGTGTGTGTGTGTGCAAAAGGAGAAAGGGCAAGCAGAGTTCCTACAGCCTTTCTGCATTAGTGAAAAAAAGCTTGTGAGTTTGACATGCCCATGTTCAGAGATAGGGGGGTTGGTTGGAGGGGGGAAGAAGTCAACGGAGCCCTAACCTCCATTATCTCTTGACTATACAATAGTTTTCAAAGAGGTTTAGTCCTATTAAGAAAGACTCATGTTAGACACTGGAAGGGTCTAATAGAGAATGAGCACTGGGCCCTGAACCAACAAGGGAGATGTGACCTTTTGGCCCCTCCAGCTAAAGCCCGGCGCATCCCGTTGCAGAGGGACAGAAAAGCAGCCTGTGTGCATCCAGGTGCCAAGAAATCTCTGCCTCTGGATTTCTCCCACACTTTCTTCCTCCTGAGATCGCAACAGGGTTTAAATAGTATCCGGGAGAAGAGAAAAAAGTACAATTCCTGGAACCAAGTGTTCTACCATCCCTTAATCCTTTGTTCCTCGCATTGTTTAAACCCTACAGCATGCAACACACGTTCTACTAGCAACAGGCAAGACAATGGATTTGGCAGTAGCTGACAATTAGTCCCAATTAAGCCAATTTCCCAGCTGAATGTAAAGGGGAGGTAAGGTGAGGTATGGGGGTAGGCAGGGGGAGGGAGAAATAAAATTTTTAATAAATACCTTATCACAGAAGCAAGGAATACAATGTAGAGAAAACTGAACCTGGGGGTCTGGAGACTCTGCCCAAGTTGCTAGAGTGACATTTTGGAAATACTTGACCCTCTCTGTGGTTAACCTCAAAATGCCAACAACCAATCACCAGCTCTCTGGGGCTCTGAAGTTCTCCAGTCAAACCCGTTGAAAGTATTCTGAAAAGTGGCAATGTTCCACAGATGGAGGGGATTTCTCCAAGCAGTACTGAGAATCAGCAAGACCCACATGTTTTTCAAATCCTGGACTTTTATTCTCCCTGAGAAATCATTAGTGACTTTCTTACTTTATTTCTATTTTCCTGATTGCTCACTCTTAGACGCTCATGGGGGAGATACTTACATATGCACATGTGGTGGCTGGAATCTGCTCTGGTTGATGTTGTAGTGTGTGAAGGCCTGGGTGGGGTTCGAGCTGTATTCGTCCACCGTTATGGTCACTTTGCCTTGAGAAGGGATCCCATGTGCCATCCTTCCTTCCTCTAGGCATGAGCCATTCACCACTTTCCAGAGCAAAGGACGGAAGCAGGCATGGTGCGTTTCAGCCAGCCTCTGAACCCAAGGATCTACTCATCAATACAGCTGTGTGTGTCTGGAAAAAAAAATTAGAAGATGAGAACAAAGAAAAAGAGGGTCACTCTAAGAGACATTAACAATGACGCCTGGATGAGAAATTGGTTCAGGAAAAAACCTTAATAAGTGTGGTCGCCTTGTGGACACAACCTTGCCGGTGTTGCTATCTATCGTGCACGCACTTCAGGGTGGACATTACACTCTGTAGGACCCTGCTGGCTGCTAGCAAATCATCTCGATGGCATTCAAACTAAGATTTCCTCTTTAATTATAATTATGGCACTTAGCGCGAATTACGAAAGGGACATAGCCACAGTTGCCATGGTGTCTAGCTATAAATGGTTTGTGCTCTAAGTGGAGACTCTTCCAAACCTTCCCTGCTAATTGGAATGTTTGGTTTGTACAAAGTTGGTGTCATATGATAATTTGAAATCTCAGCTTAATAGAGCCTCATCATGCAAAGGCAAAGGTAAATTTGCAGTGCTGAGCTCAGATACCGTAATACATAACACATAATACAAATATGTGTATGTATACATATTACTCGTAACACTCAGTATGCACATGTAATACACCCACTGTGCAGAGCATTTACTCTTTCATAAGCAGCTCCCCATTATCTGTACTTGTTCACTTCCTGGGAAATATACCCAGCTCATTGTGGTAAATCACTCTATGGCAAGGCAAAATCCTTTGTCCCAAATGTACTATAATATCTTTCTACCCCTCAGCCACTCTGGAAAAAGTCAATCACACCCAGGTAAGGATAACCACTCTGGATGACCTCTGCTCTTAGAGGCTGGACGGAGCAAAAAAAGGCAGATAGCCATTATATCCACTACCTCATTCTTGCTTGGTGTTGCCTAATTCTTAGTAATTGGTTTCGTACTTTAAAAGACAATTCCAGGGGCTGGAGAAATAGCACAGCGGGTAGGGTGTTTGCCTTGCACACAGCAGGCCCGGGTTCAATTCCCAGCATCCCATACGGTCCCCCGAGCACCACCAGGAGTAATTCCTGAGCGCATGAGCCAGGAGTAACCCCTGTGCAATGCCATGGGTGACCCAAAATGAAAAAAAAAATAAGACAATTCCATTGGTTCTGGCTCTTTCTACATAAATGTCAATATAAAATTTGCTGTCCTGGGTTCAGAAAATGAACCATGTTCACTGTTACAGCCAGTGTGCAAAAACGGAAGAAAACAAATCTCTGCAACAAAACTGCTGCCACTGGTGAGTGTAGCAGAGAAGCAGCGGGTAGCACACTCCTTGGGTAACCCTTGGGTAACCCATGCTCTTACTTTAAGTGCTTCACAACAGAATATACGTGCCATGTGCACCATTAAACTCTGGGAATCTTAGCTGCTATCTCAAATAAAAATATTTAGAATAATAAGATTAGATTTAAATCTGGCATGAAACACCTTAAATATCGAGCAAAAGGCAGATGGCCTGCCATAGGCCATTTATTTTATTATTTTACAACCCGGGGCTTGTGTCGTCCTCCATATGCTAGCTAGGCTAAGAAATTCCACAGTGTTCTACTCACATCACTGCCGGCTTCTTATTAGCAGAGCAAGCTAAATAACACCCACCTTGCCTGAGTTCCTACTATACTAAAGCCTTGCCAAGAGATGAACCTCTGGGTACTCTGGCATTTTAAACAATGTGTCACACTGACTTCTCTTTCTTCTTCCTGACTTCCTGGGAGGTATGAGTCCTTTAAGCACCAGTTGATAGACATGCAGGCCAGGAGGATTAACTAAATTAAAATCTTTCCCTGCTCCTCTGATGTAAGATATCTATAAGAACTGCTTACAAATCATAATGTAGCAGTTTTCATACCAAGTTTGCAGCTGTTTCCTGAATTTCCCCCCACAATTATATTTTACTGTTATTTTGCATAACAGTAAAACACAACACCTGCTTCAAATTGCAGTCCTGTTCTAAGTACTGTAATTCTCTTTTGAGACACAAAGTACTGAGACACTACTGAAGCGCAAAACTGCATAATTGCGCTGTGCTGAAAAGTAAATACAAATGAAAACATCTTCCTGTTATAGAAATGACTGTCATTAAAAAGAATGTTAGCCATCAAAGCACAGAGGGGGAAAAATACACATTTTCAGACGGCGAGAACTTGGTGTTTGCATAAATTAGAGAGTGGTGTAAAAATTACATGGCAATTCTTATGTTCCTGCCATCAATGCCTATTGTGTGAATACAGAACATTAAGAAGCAAGAGAAACAAAATGCAAGTCTAGACCATTGTGACCTCTCAGTAACAATCTCTGGACTGGGTGCCAGAAACAGCTTAAATGTTTCTGGGGTAAACTCACTAATTAAACGAAGCAAAATGGACCAGAAATAAAATATGCATACCTAATACACAAAAATCCATGCAATGACTTATACATAGCCTGGGAGCCATCCCATTTGAAGCAAGGAAGAGGTAGAACTTAGAAAGGTCAATTCCCACCCCTACCTGGAGCACTGTATCCTAGCCCACATACAAACGATTGCCTTCCAAGCCAGTGCTCCTCTGTAGCTCCTCACACCTCTGCCCCAGCAAGACAAACTGAACATCTTTTCATCAACAAGCACTGGCCCCTGGAACTCTGGAGGGCTAAATGGGTGGCTGGCACCTCATTTGAATTCATCTTTACCATGTTCGCTTTCAAATATTTTATCGAAAGTCTGCACCTGCAGCGTCTATCTTCTTTAATCTGGAGTCCTTTGAAGAAAATGTCAGACAGAGCAAAGAGCTTCAAAACTTTCACAGGAACCTCTACAGACCAGTCAAGAAAAGGCTTCTATTAAAAAAAAATCCACTATATTCATCCCCACTCACATCTCAGAAAATGAACATATCCTAAAAAGGTTCAACACAAACACCTGTGAGATACATTCAACACAAACAGAGATTGGCAACAATGTAGCCCTTCTTTCCAACCTGAGAGATTTGGGGAGAGCTTGAAACAAGCCAGAATGAGACTCTGCTCAGAACTATCATGAATCTACACCACTTTGATTCATGCGCAGGAAAAGATTCCTGCTGACCAGCATAGGAACTTCTCATGCTCATCATACTTTGCATTTTACATATATTTAAGAGGCTGGTCTTTTTTTTAAAAAAAAAATCTTTCACTTTATACTTCCACGTACTTCCACACATTTACTCTACAAAACAAAGGAACTGGATACTAACTGCCAGAAATCCCAAAGAAAAAAAATTAAAAGATACTGGCAGTGCCAAGCATTTGTGCTGGTGCTAGTTTGATTTTCTCTTTAAAAAAAATCATGTGAGCATATTTAGCATTTCCTAGACAGCAATCACTTCTCCCGTCTTAAGCTGTTCAACTAGCAACGTTCGGTTCCAGGAATCGAGCCGGAAAGCCTTTTGAAAGTCGACTGGCAATGAAAGGATTAAAATCCCAGGAATGATAGAACTGTCTCCACCTCCTAGACACCAGAAAGTACAATTTACCAAAAGTTTCAAAGCAACAACTCTCGGTGTCTCTGGTCGGCAGCGCCTATGAGAAAGAAGCCCGCAATTTCCGTTTTAAAACAAGGATGCTCATGTTTAATCCTTGCCTCCCCTCACTCCCACCCTCACCCCACCCCCAAATCGCCCGGCGGCCGGGCTGATCTTGGGAACACGTCTGCTCCAATTCCGCCAGATTCGCGCTCTAGTCCCACTTCGACCGCACAAACGTTCTCCAATCACTGCCTGGACTCGCGCCCCTAAGGTCTTAAAGCACCCCTCCGGGTCCATCCCGGCATCCCGAATCACAACAGTCTTTCATCCCTAAGAGGTGGCCAGCACGCCTTCACAACGGCTTCTCTGGCAGGACTTTGGCCGGGGACCCCCCAGGCTCCAGGTACCTCGGTCCGGAGCGCGGCCCCTCCCTGCCCTACCCCCACCCCCCCACTTACACCTGAGCTTGTCTCCAGCACTGCAGACAACAGGCTGGCACATTCTTTCGGAGGAAGGGCAGGACTTTCTCTCCCGCGCCTTTGGCAACGAGGACAGTCTATATATGGTGGGGCGGGGGGCGCGGAATTCACTACTTTGGATTGGTTTGTTTGTTTTAAATCTAGGGTGGGCAGTTGGGGATCCTGGGGGGGGGAGACTTGAGCGACTGCAACTACTCACACATCCACATCGGAACACGCGCGCGCGCACACCCCCTGCCCTCTCGGCTCGCGGCCACCTCCTCGGGGTCACAGCTCCCCCTTTCTTCCAGAAACACCAGCTCGCCTTATTCGCTCAGTCCCCCGCTGCCACCGCCGCCGCTGCCGCCGCCGCCGCTGGCACTCCTTGGCGCTGGCGCTCACGGCCCCCGGCTCCACTGGGCGCCGGTCTTTTCTTTCTCTCCCTCTCCCCCAGCCCGGGAGTGATTGATGACCACCGGCGGCCAATGGCTCTGACATCGCGCCATCCTCGCTGGAGCATCACAGCCCCACGCCCCCGACGTCAGCCTCCTGGGCGCGTTGGCATCCCCGAACCCTCGGAGCGGAGCCCGCGCGCTCCGGGCCGCCGCCGCCGCGTCGGTGCACTCTGCCCCCGGAGCTGCCCGGCTGCTTCCCAGGAGCGGCGGAGCAGGAAAGAAGAGGGGCAGAGAGCTTTGAAAAAGGGGGTGTGGAAGCCACGGATCTCGCCCGCCTCCCCGGCTAAGCACGGCAAATCTTTTCTTTCACTTAAAGTTTTGTTTTTCCACCCTGACCTGTTTGTGTTTGCTTACAGCATCTCAAATCAATTGCACATTTTCCATGACCCGCATTTACACTTAATTTGGAGTGAATTGGGGAGTGAGGGGGATAAACGTTTTATATCAATCTAGCCTACCGTAGTAGCCTTCATTCGAACTCCCTCCCCGGTCTCCGGGAAAAAAAAAATGACCTCTTCACTTTCTAGGCCTTAAAAAAAAATTCTTTTTTAATTTAAAAAAAAAAAAACCCGTCCATTCAAGGGTTCCAAGGTTTTCCAAAGGTAGTCCGGTGCCACGTAAATAGCCCCCAAACTAAAGCTTCGGTAGCGAATTCCCGCGGCAAAGGTTACTTTTCCTCGCCGCACGTCCCCCGCGCCGCCCTGCCCCGACCCCCTCCCGGGTCTCGCTCTGCAGGCTGCGAGCGTGGAGGCTGCAGGCGGCCCGGGGAGAGCGAGGTTGGGGCGCGCGGGACCGGGTGAGAATAAGCCCCGCGCCGGAGCGTCGCGCGCGCGCGGGCGGCCCCGGGGGCGGCCACCGAGCGCGGCCCGAGCACAAAGCTGCGCGGCGCCTTCCCCGGCCGCGGGCGCCCGGGGCTCGGGCCAACACAATGCACCCGGGCCTAGGCCGGGGAGGCTCGAACACAGAACCCCGGGACTTTCTAGTAAACAGCTCGCCGGGCACCAGTCCCCACCCCCATCCCCGGCGCCCGACTCTCGCCGCTATCTGCGACCGCCACCACCCCGTCCGCCTCTCGGAAGAAACCCCGGCGGAGGGATGGTGGTGGTGGTGCTGCTGCTGCTGGTGGTGGTGGTGGTGGTGGTGGTGGAGGAGAGGTGGGGACCCCTGAAAGGTCGGGGGCCGAGGACTGGGCATCTGGACGGTCGGAGGATGAACGAGGGGCGAAAGGGGACACGATGCGGAGTGGGAGGAAGACAGCTCCGAAAAGAGAATTCGCTTGGGCTCGGGGCTTGGAAATCAGCCCTCGTCGGGGTCCGAATTGTTCGGGCAGCGCCGGCCGGGGCGAATGTCAGGGGCACCGGGGCAGCCGAGGTCCGCAGCCTCCGAGCCCCTCGCACGCGCCTCTGACAAGGCACCTCTCCCCCGGACTCCGCTTTGTGTGTGCATTTTTTTCCCTTCCTCTCGCGCTCGGCACCAGCCGCCGGCCTCCTCCCCCTCCCCCGCCCTCCGCCTCCCTTCCCGGGCCGGATTACCTTGCCCGGGCTGCGCTCCGGATCCCGGGGATGCCTTCAGCGCCCGACGAGCCGGCGATCCATCGCCCAGCGGCCCGAGCCGGCGGGAGGCGCGCGGGGGGCGTGCGGGGGCGGCGAGGGGCGCCGGCGGGCCAGAACCTTCGACCCTGGAGGTCTCGCGGCGGGCTGGGGCGGGGGGCGAGGGGGAGGTGGAGGGCGCGGGGGGCGGGGGGAGGCCGGGAGCAGCCTCGATCTGGGGAGAGACCGAGCGAGGGGGCCGAGGAGCGGGAGCGAGGGCGCGGCGAGCCGGAGGGAGCGCGAGCGGTGCAGTGACAGGGACTGCCACTGGGGTCAAAGGAGCACAGCTCCAGGAAGCAGGGCGGCCGAGGCGCCGCTCCGTGCGCGCTCCCCGGCGGGACCCCGCGCCCCCGCGCGCCCCTCCAGCCGCTCTGGTTCCCCCTTCGAACCTCCACCCGCGCCCCCGAGGCCCCTGGGGTTGCAGGAGGAGGACGGAGCTGAGGGCGAGGCCGGCAGCCTGCTGGTGCTCCCGGGTCAAGCAGGAGGCAGGAAGCTGAGCTGCAAGTTCACCATCGGGAGTGTGATCGGCGTAAAACTGATAAGGGACCCGGGAGGCGGGGGCTGGAGGTGGAGGGGGAGGCTTCGGAGCCCCAGGAAAATAAAGGGAGTTTTCCCTCCAAATGGGCGTCTTCTGCCAAGAGAACACCAAGGCCCCCCACCCACCGACCTGCTAGCGCTGTCTGGAGTCTTGGCACCACTCCAGGCGCTGAGCTTGGCGCGGGGACCTGGGGAGCGGCTTGGCCACTGATCTCAGACTAAAGAAGGCGACCCTGGGTCTCCTCCCATCCGCTGGGCTGAAGCTTTCCTGGGGGAGAACTCTGCTGCTTGCACACACATACATAACACCCTATAACACACACGCATCATCATCATCCACCCCATCACACACAGACACTCGCGCGCTTACACACACACACACACACACACACACACACTCTCTCTCTCTCTCTCTCTCTCTCTCTCTCTCTCTCTCTCTCTCTCTCTCTCTCTCTCTCTCTCTCTCTCTCTTCCTGTCTGCAGTGTTGTTCCTAAGAAAGAAAAGGCCAACCCTTGCGTGTGTGTATCTTTACCTCCATGAACTCATGTAAATTCAAGAGGTAAGAAGAGGCGAAGATTTTATTGTTCCCTTTTATTTTATATACTTGTCTTAAAACACATTTTTCCCTCAAAGAACAAGACTTCTTAAACATTTTAAAAATCAAACTTAGGGCACTCTTTTCCCTTCTGCTACTTTGTATGATGGGAAGGAAAAGCTTTTTAGAATTGTGTGCAAACAGCATAAGGCAAGGCAAGACTCAGAAATGCTAGAAGATGAGACTGAGAAGGCTTTTAGAAAACTTGCTTGGCGGTGCTGTCTGTGAAAGATGAGGTGGCCCTGTGATGTTATGCCATTGTCAGAGCTGAAGGATTTGGACGGCAACCAGATCTAATTCCTTCCCAGGAGTCAGGCTCAACGAGCTAGGCATTCTCCAAAGGGAACTCCAATGTATGTTTGTGAGACAGAAGTGTGCTAAGTATACTATGTGACAACTGACTAGACATCCTGGCTGAAATTATATCCCCTAAAAATAAAAAAGAGCCATTTCAACCTGGTCTGTGGCCTCTGTGCTGAGACTAATTGGTTTCCAGGGTCTATGGAAAAGGGAGAGAGGCTGCTAGAAGCCCCTAGGAAAAAGATCAAATGAATTCACTTGAAAATATTTCCCTTCTATTATGCACATTGTTGGTACTTGAATTTTAAGTAACATCTCTTATGGCTGGGCTGCAGTGAAAGGGGAATGGTCACATTAATGTTATCTGTTTTGTTGCATAGAATGCCAATGTCAGTGCTTGTGCAGTGTGCTAGAATAGAGTGACTTTACTTGTGCAGCACAAATCACAGCAACATTGACATTGCAGAATGCTAAAAATAGGGGGAAGAGGGATTGGGGAGCATGGAGCAATGGGAAGGAACACAGAAGCTTTATGTTTTAGGTTTGGGTTTTGTTTTTCAGCCCATCAGAGAACACTGACTAGGTTCATGTTTCTGAAGAAATGTTTGGTTTTATCTTCCCCTACTCTCTAAGTTAGCAAAACACATCTTTTGGAAATGGTTTGAATTTCAGACTGATCTGAGCTAATTCTATCATTCCAGAATAAAGTCATCAATTCACTAATAATTTCCAGTTTTTTCTGTGAAGAGTGAAAGAAACTATCATAACCAAACTAGTTTGTATACAATCTCAATTTTATTTACAGACAATAATAGTGTGTTCTATTTAAGTAGTGCATTTTATAGTATATTAAGTGCTATAAAAATCAAGTGAGTGATCCTTTACAACATTGATGAAAAATGTTTTACTGAATGAGAAAATATGGAGACAAAAACAAGCTAAAATTGCAACTTGTGGCATGAAAAGTAAATAAGTCCCCACTACTGATCAGTTGTCCCCTGAGAGAAGAAGTGGCCAAGCTACATTAGAGTTATGAATTTTTATTTCCATCAAGCTATCAAGATAAGAAAGCTACAGAAATGTAAATGAATTTGTATAAAAAACCAGGAACACACAGAACTCACTCAATTTTGAATAATTTTTACTCAGCAGAGCTGAATTTGCTGAATTCAGTTAAATCACATTCTCCACCAATTCAACTTATACTAAAAGTTTGTCTTAAAATGACTGGATGTAAACCATGTCTGTACCCCACTTCAGGTCTGGAAACATTGGATCTCATTATATGAATTGTAAATACTATAGGCTTGGGGACTTTTTAAAGACAAGCGTTTATTTCTATTTGTTGTTACTGTTAAATACAATTTCATTGTTCAATAGGAAAAACAAAAGAAAGATAAACTCAAATTGCAAGTTTATGATCATGTCTATACATATTTTGGAAAATTTTTCTTTTAATAGAAAGTAAATCTGGACTCTTTCTCTTATGACTTCTTTGAACAAACTAGAAAATATACCTCCTGATAGCCCACTGCAATATCTTTTAAAATATCTTTTCAGAATGCATTTTCAGAAAATGAGAGAGAAGAGTGTGGGAGACCCCTGTATGAAACTTGGAAAGTAAGTGCCACTTACCTTGAAAACTCTATTTTATTTGTAGTTGCCTTTCATTTTTTTCTATTAGGACAGGTTTTTTCATTACTTGAGGCACATATGTATAACTTAAAGGATGGTTTAATTCTGTGGATATTACTAAAAGAAATCATGGAAAGTATTCAAAAATTATACCTTTTATTTTCTTTCAGTCGTCTACATTTTTCAGTGTGCTGCACTTTTCAGTACAGGCAAAGATATATGTTAGCAGAAATCAACATAATACAACAACCACCAAAAAACAATTAGAGAAAAAGTAAGCCAACAAACCCCTTTATTCTGAACTTCTGTAGTTTTTACAGTTTCTGCAATATTTTCAAATGTTTTCATTGCAACCCCAGGTAATAGCTGTGCCTTATAGTCCTTTGTTCTTATGTATTAGAAACTTATAGAAACGTGGAGATATCTGTTAAGTGAATGGATCAATAAATGATAAAGTGAATAAGAAAATGCATGAGTGAAAGAAGCAGCTATCCAAGGAAAATAATTCTTAGCATGATTAGGACAGAAAGTGATGCCATGAGACCAGAGCTACACTACAAATGTCAAGGACTTCCCCTGGATTCATATAGTACTTTTTTTTTCTTTTTGGGTCACACCCAGCGATACACAGGGGTTACTCCTGGTTCATGCACTCAGGAATTACTCCTGGCCGTGCTCAGGGGACCATATGGAATGCTGGAAATCGAACCCAGGTCAGGCCACATGCAAGGCAAATGCCCTAACTGCTGTGCTGTCACTTCAGCCCCTCGTATAGTACTTTTAAAATCATAAAATATGTGTCATACAACTGTGCCAGAATTGATTTCTCAAAAACTGGAGATTGTTATTTATCATGTCCATTTAAATGTAACTTCCTTTTTAACTGCAATAGAAGGTAAAAAAAATCTTGCACAAAATTTGAACCTTAAAATCTACATTGTAGTACAAATTATAGCATGTACATTAGAGACATCTGAGAGTTACTTCTTTCATAAGTCCCTTTTGAGACCCTCAAAATAAATATATAATTAATATTTTTGTTCTCCGAATGTAAGTTTCCCGTTTGGTTAACTTAGAAAACTGTTTGTGACTAATAAGATTCAGGAAACACTGGAACTAAGTAGAAGAAATGGAACAAGAATAGATTAAATTTTATTTTATAAAGTAAATGTTATAGTCCTTATCATAGGTCAAATTTGGTTCAACTTTGTCAGAAGTCTAGGGAATAAATGTGGAGGGATTGGAACTTATCTCCTAGGAATTATCTGGACCATGTGCTTCGTATCTAGTAGCCCCAGATTAGACCTCCTAATTACCACCAGGAGCAACCCACTAGCACTGAACTGGGAGTATTCCATGAACACAACCGGTATAGCTCCACACTAACACTTCCCCTCCAAAAAAGCCATGGACACAGTGGACATCTTAAAATTTGAAAAACACACATTATTACTTACTAGCCTGTGCCTAAGATGTCTCCTCGCAGTAAATCAGATTAGCATTGTCTATGCAAAAAATAATTTTAACAATTAATTTTTTAAAATCCTAGGACTAAGCTTGCTTTTATGTGTTTTCTTTCCAGGGAGAAGTGCGTTACTTAATATAATTGATGTTTACTGACTTATGTAATTAATATTCACTGAGTCTTTCATCCTGTCATGGTCTTCGTTTTGCAAAATTGGTAAAATTTACTGGTAGTTAGGATAGGCCTGTCATGGTAGAAGAGAACATTCTCATTGAGGTAAAACCAGGTAATCTCTTGAAAGACTGCAGTACGGGAAACCCCTAGTAACTGGATTAAAGAAAATCTTCATGGGGTTATCAAGTTTAATAATTCAACTTGACAAGCTAACATAAATAGATCAATATACAGGGTAATTTTCCCTCTCAGCAAAAGCAAATAAATGAACAAACACATTTTTTAATTGTTTTAAAGACCAGCAGGATCTCAAACCCATTTTGTTCTGTATCATTAGTGTACAATTCAATAATATAACAGATTATAAATTCTACTCTGTGCCAGGTAGAGTTCTTTACCATGCTTGTGGGCTAAGGAGGCAACAAACATGCATTTCCTTCACTCTTCCAGGAATGAGTGTAATCTCCTGAATGAAACTGTCTTTAAACAAACACACAAAAAGAACTGGAGAGAGAGGATGAACCCTAAGGGTCTTGCTTGCAAGCAACTGACCTATGTTTGATTCCCTGGCATCACTTAATGTCCCCCAATCTTTACTTAGAAGTGACTTATAAGTGCAGAACCAGGAGTAAGTCCTGAATACCTCCACATGTAGCCTAGAAATAAAATAGGTAAATGACTAATAATAAAATAAATTTACAAAGAGACAAAAATTATGTCTACTAAAAGGAGAGGTACCTGGTTGAAAAAGACAAACTAACACAGGGTAACACTCCTCTAGGGTTGTAGGAGGACGTCTTTCTTTGATGGAGCAATTTGCTCCAT